AGGAGCTCGGACGTGAGAGCTATCATTCAGAAAGATGGAAAAGTGATACAAAAGGCAAAGCGGAAACCTACTCGACTTAGGTTCCGTCTTCCCCCACTTCCTACCTCTTTTCAATTTTATCCCGTTTCTCATTCTGGATTCTTCACTTTTCTTCCATCCTTCATCTCGCTCCGTCTGTCTTTGCTTTTCACGGTCGGAACCATATAACTCGGAAAGAGTCTCGATAGCGAGGGGAAGTGCTTTAAGAAGCCTTGTGCTTTCAGTTCAATATTTGCATGGCTCCCAGTTGCTCACAAAAGAGAGAAATCTATCAATTCCTGTCTTCTAGCGGCGCTTCCCCCCACTCCGCTTCGGATGAAATCATTACGTGCCACGCTGACGGGCATGGAGCCTTTATGTATCGCTACTAGGAAGAAACGCCATTCTGGGATGTTGTTCGGTTCTCGAAAGTGGATGGGGACGGATTATATTGTGTATCGATCAGAAATGAAGCGCCGTAAATCATGAATGGACTGCACACACTTTTGCGTGTACATGACTAGGAAAATTTACCCGTTTTACTTGGTATTCCGCACTCATTAATCTGTGTGCGAATGAACGTAATGGGATATCCGGATAGTGATTCGTTTGTTCGTGCAAATAAATAGCATTCTTTGAAAGATACAGATATATGATAGTGCAATGTGCGTTTATATCTATCAATTCCAGTGCAAATATACTCATTATAATTGCAATACATTTTATTCTCTGAAGTCAATCATCTTTAAAAAAGCATCGGGGGCAAGATCGCATAATTTTATTATAATCAAAATCGATCTACATAAAACAGATACATGGTTTTGCAGAAATATTAAAAAATTTAACTAGATACATATCTAAATATAATTTTGTTAAACCATTAATATAATTATGTAGAATATTCAAACTGCTACCAAAAATCAAAATTTTTTGCAGTACTGCTGAATTTTGTAAGTAATTATTCTGATGATCACGCATAATTATTTTCAGATCTGTATCAAGCTAAATTTGTAAATACTTCACTAAAATCGCTCCTTCTATGTACATTTATTAAAAATGTCAGTATATTACAGTTTTTTAATATTATATTATAGATATAAATTTTATTGTAACTTAAATTTTAAAGGAAAATCCTGTATTATGATATAAATTTCTAATATAAAATAGTGAGACTTCTGCTACACTAATAGGCGTTATCTGTTGATTTCACTACGAAATTATTGCTCTTGATTTAAAATCTATTTGTTATTAGAAAATTCATTATTAGATCCTATATGTAGTCGTTCCGAAAAAAGATTTGTAAAATTGGACTGCTATTTGCAAGTTTCCTTAAACTGAGTCTCTAAACCTTGTTTATTATAAAATAAATAAATATTTATTATAAATTCCGCATGCAGTTATAGAGTAAGATCATATTAATAAGAAAATACGAGATATGTTGTTCTTAATTGTAAAGAGGTAAGATTTAATGATCGTGAAACTGCCAAATGTAAGACTCATAATATGATATATTCAAAATACTACTAATAGGGTAAAACAGAGATTACAGACTCTTACATAACGTATAACGTAATGCATAAGAAAATGTCAATCAAAGTCTTCCGTCCCCTTCTTTTCCA